TTGATACTATACAGAGTCGACCTCTGTTTATTCAGTTGGCAACATACCTCAGGCTACTTAACGGGATAAAGGACCGATAGTTGAATTTTCCAACAACTATATGAGTCGGCCTAACGATGGATGCGATTCCATTTCACTTAATCTTGTCTCCCGAAAGCTTTCTTATTCATACTTGACTTACAGTTTTGACTTGGCCCGGGTCTCATCAGCACACAAACGAAATCGAATTCGGCCTGTTCAGCGTATCTTCGGCTCATAGAATCTTGGTTTCGATTCATCGTGGCAATGTTATATGAAAAATGCTTTTTGATCGAGGCTTTGCATCCCTTATATCAACCGCTACTGATAGATGACGATTTAGAGTTGTTCTTTTCCTAAGCCTGTCGAATCATTCCTTAGTTGGATCATGTTTTCATGGTTTCTAGTCAAAATTTTAAGCATGTAAGGCATCCTATTCGGTTGGCCCTCATCTTGATCTATGCATATTTTTTCTCGGATTTCAGTCTAACTCTTATACTATGTTGTTCCTGTATATTTTGCAATTAAATAAAAACTAATGTAGTGATGTTCTTTTATTCGAAAGCCCGGATAAAAACATGTTGTTTCGATCAATTAAGGCATGATCATGCCTCCCCGTCTGCCATCTCATTATGGGATTTCTCAAGCTCGCCGAATTTTGGTCTTTCTGTATTCATGCCTTTTCTCATGATGTGCTTAAGGACGGATGAAAATAATTCACACCATTTTTCATCCAAAGCCCACATTTCTTCTTCTAACTTCATAACTTGGTCTTATTCTCGTGTTTCTAATCGACGCATCTGTCCATGCAAACAAATTTGGTTCTGCATCTTTGTTGAATAGAAATAGGGAGGTGTGTGGCTTTCCTGATTTTCTGCTCCACCGACGGCTATCTCAATATGCCGGATTTATGCGCGAAACGCTTCCTTCCTTCTGCATGCTACTGTCTTCCTATCAGCTTCATGTTATGTCTGCTCTTCTTCCGGCAAGTAATAATCTTCTTTGTCCTTACTTTTCGGGCTAAGGGTCAGCTAAAAGTACCTGCATCATAGGCTCGTAAATACAGGCCTCCTCTTCCTTCTCTCGCTCATCCCATTTGCCACCAGACCGAAGTGAAGCAGCTGCCCAGGCTTGAACGTCTGCTTTTTACCAATCAATTACACGGTTCCTTCCAGTTGATGGCGCGTCTTCCCGACGGCCAACCAACTCGGACCGGTATTGATAGTCTCTATCTGTTGGCAATGTAACGATAATCGCATATTTGCTTCAATCTTTTTATTATACATGTGCATTTTTGCCTCTGAGGCCGATTAATTATTTTCTGTTAACTCCGAATTGCACTTTGACATAGCAACATGTACTTAGCACTTTTCTATGATTGATATTTCCGAATGTCTCTAATTACCCCTGATTTCCTTCCATAGTATTTGTCAACTTTCTCGGATCTCCTCCCGCAAGTCCTGGCGGATAAGCTTCCGACTTATGTTGAATTTTCCCGCAATCATATGAATGAACTTACGTTTCTATTGAATTCCACATAACCTCGCTTCTAAAAATGTATTATCATCCAAACAGGAGAGTACCTTGTCTAGGTCACATCAGCACCCCCAGTGGGTATAATCTCGACACATTAACCGCTACTTCACATTGCCTTGAGTGCCCTTGGGCACAGGGCAGATGTGCATTTAAAGGAATGCAAGACATTTTTCCATATTACATTCTGTCCTGGGATTGTCGATGAAGCAAAGTGGCATTTGTGAGAAAATTTAACTACCAGTCCCCTCATCACCTTAAACGAAATTTGATGAATACATCTCATATATGTATATATATATATATGATCCACTAGTAGTCTAAAAAACTGCTAATAAAACGAAAAATAAGTAATGTAGACAATTGCTCTAGCAAATACATCTTTGCTTTATCGACAATCCCACCTCAGGATGGGACATGGGAAAATATTTGGCCTTCCTTGGATTCCACATCTACCCTGTTACCCAAGAGCACTCGTGCCAATCTTGCGTAGTGGTTAGTGCCTTGAGATTAGGCACTGCACTGTTATGGTTCAAGTCCCGCTGGGGGTGCGAATGAGACCTAAGCGAGGTCGAACCTGTATGCCAATTCAGCCTGGATGATAATACTTTTTGGGAAAGCAGGGCTATGCGATATTTAATGGAAGTGTAAGGTCTACTCATATTATTGTGTAAAAATTCAACTACCAATTCTTCTATCTACATCTAAAAGGGTAAATACATCTGGCTATATATGGTTTCCGCCCACTGGTAGCACCATTTTACATGAAAACAAATTTATCTATTTATTGACGGCCAGAGCATAGCAATATATGCGAAGAAAAATTGGGTTTTGATTAATCCATTGTTTCGTAATTTTTCAACTTCCATTTCGACTGAAAGTATTTTGTGAAGAGATTCGAAGGTTGATACCGTCGATTTTCGCGGATTCCTGCGGATTCCTTTCCTGCCTATTTATGATATTAAACTGCTACAGAGTCATATATTGAGAGAATCGGGTTTCGAAGACTCCCCTAGTGATTTATCATCACATAAGTTTTAATTTTGAAGCAGTTGTTTTCTGGTCAAGTTAATTGGTGAATTCCTTCCAACCAACTTCTTCTTGGAAATTTAAAGTTGTGTTCTGGCACTCATTTTGACACTTTAATCGTGATTTCCGACAGGCTTGAATGAACATGCCTAGTCCTGCCTCCTCAGCCTTTGCTGTCTTGTCTTAATCCAGTATCGGATTGTTAACTGGGTACATTTCCATACAGTTATCCGGCATCTAAACTTCCTAGAAGTCTTTTTGAAAGCACGACTAATTTGCGAAAAAGTGATAAAATTTGGTCTATACAGCAGAATGAGTTGAAGGCTACACATCCTTGCTATTCGTGTTTAGTTATAACAGTTTTGGATTGTGACACTGTCTTGTGTGAGGAATTCTTGTCTGGATACCTTAAGTCGGCCTTCTGCCGACTTATAATAATGAGATCCCTCCAGAGTACAAAAGTATCGGAGTTGTTCATTTGCATCAATCGGTAAATTCCTCTTGTTGAGACAGAAGCCCGTTTGTATTTTGTCTGTCCTGTTTCAACTGTAACTTACTGTATCCTTTTCAATACTTGGCATTCTTCTTAACCACATGAATTACTTATCCTTTCGCTAATTCTATGTGCTTTCAAGAGGTCAGCCATAATCTTCTAGCCTCAGCATTAGCACATTGGTTCGATCTCTTTATCGCAAGTTCGTTGGAGCGACAAGGAGACCTTATTGCATGTTTCTATTTTTTCCTACCTTCTCGTTCCACATCCCTTTCTTTTATATCCCACTTCAAATCGCCCATTTACCCAATCACATCATTCTGTGCTCACGTCTCCTCCAATGTCACCTAAGAGTGTGTTGCTTTGAGTGGATTTAGTAGAGGATAATCTCTTTCATCACCGGTTTCAGATGCCGTTCTCAGGGCTTTTGACTTTTATTTAGGCCCCCATTTCCACCCCGTCCGTCAGTTGATCCCTGATACACATTAAAATCACTATCTGGCTTCTAAAATTTGGTTGCTGTGACCCTCCGATTCCAGTCCCTGTTTACGTCATAGTTGAGGATTTAAGATCGATGATTCTTAGGCTTCAGATCCAACGCCCAGTTGTTCTCTTTATCATCCCTACTCTATTCTTCTTCATTTCCCAGGGCTCTGTATCTGACTTGATTTTGAACTGCTGGTGTAAAGATGGACGTCTTCTCTTCTCTACTCCTGAATCACGTAGAGCACACTCCACTTGTCTCTCAAGTTGACAGTCCCACCTAATCCTAAGATTCCAGTCAGTTGTGCATGTGTAAGTTGGTTGGAATCTCCCTTAGTCATGTATACCACCATTCACCTCTCCCTACAGACACACACACACACATTAGGGCCTAACTTATATTGTGCTACCCAGCTCGGTTTCCACATCTTGATCAATTTGAAACGGACCTAGATCTTTCTGACTCCTAATTTCCTATCCCACAGGTGTGCCTACACGGTTACACTTCAGGTTAATTCCAGGTTTGACTCTTTTCACTGCAACCGCCTTTTCATGACTTTCCTTTGTCCCTCATAATCCACCTCCTAGAGATATCTTCTCTTGTCATTGAATAGTTGTCTTTGGACAAAGTCTCTTTTAGTTTTCCTCTCTTTCTTCCGACTGACCCTTTCCTTTTCCAATATCGTGTTCATCATTAGGTTTATTTTAAAGAGGATATCCATGGCCTCTGATCGTTCGTTTTCTGGTATTCTCAACAAATTAGGCCAATCTTAGCGTGCTCATTTTTCTGCATAGTCACTGGTGTACGAATGTTACATTTTAATATTAGCGCCCGCAGCTTCCGAGCCAGTTCGCAATAGGATAGATATATCCATCGTTTTTCCTCTATTTCCATTGCTTTCCTGTCATGATCCCTGTCCTCCTATCTGCTCATCACGATTCGTATGCTGCGTTGTATTGCTTTTCCTAGATATCCGTTTCAAAGAAACATCTGAGTTAGTTTTTCCAGTTCCTCGTCCCATAACTCAAAATCTATGATTCGTAGACTTCTTATGGCCATATTTCTGAGTATTCCAATCTTCATTCCATAGGTATGATGAGACTGGAAGTTAAGCCTTATTCCTCCATGCGATTTATTTCGAAACCGTCGTGTCTTGAGAATTTCCTCGGGGCGGCTGGCCTTCACATTCGTTCAGTGACTGTTCACTGCCATGTCCATTGTCAATTTGACGTTTTCCTCCATGTCATTTAAAAAGATCATGAGATCGTATAATATTTCTTTTCGATGCGACCAGAGGGCGAGTTGGTCATACAAATATCCAATTTCCGTTTACTGCTGAGGTGACGTTTTGAATTTCTGCTCCAACGTAAAATAAGTAGTTCTTTTGTTACGTTTATTAATCGGGCGAGAATCTTTTCGGATTCGCTTCTCTTCCAGGCTGTAGTCTTCTCTTTTCTAAAATCTGCAGTGGC